GGGGGGAGAGCACGAAAACAAAGGCAGGGTCGACAATTTCTAAACTGCGAAACGAAAAAAAAACGATCAGAGATTATTGGTCTGCTTTGTCCAACTTCCGGTTCACAACAAATCAGCTGTCGTCACCAATGGTCCATTTTGTCCAGTTTTATTAACAAACAAAAAATCACTGGGAAAAAAACGTCAGGCAAAGAAAAAGGCTGCGGACGGCTCCAGACGGCAATTTGTAGGACCAGGGAACATATCACAGCAGACGATAAATTGTGGCCTCATTTTGAGATTCTGGACAGCCACCACGGCCAAAATAAAAAAACCAAGGTTCAATTAGCCATCGTTGTAAGACACATTTTTGGCCAAAGCACCGTCTGTCTTTTCCCGCCTCGCCCACCCACTGGCACCAGGTCCTATCGATCCCCGACATTAGGAAGTCTCTCGTCTGTTGACCTATAACTTGTTAGTGCGCGTCCTTTATTGCTCATCTCTTGAGGAGAGGGATCTCTGGCGTGAGGGACGGTATAAGTCCTGGGACAGGACTCGGGGATCAGTCAAATCTGTTGTTTTTCTACCGTTTGACTACTACTACTGTAGAACCCAAGGGTGCGGTGGCCGAGCTGTTCGTGCGCTGGTCTCCGAAGCGGAAAGTTCGGGTTCGAGCCTCGGTTCGAACACGGATTTTTTTTCGCCCCTCCTGCCCACCCAGCAGTAATGGGTACCTGACTTGGAGTTGGGGAAGTAAAGGCGGCGTGGAAAGGAACTGGCCACCCTACCACAATATGCCGAAGGCCCAGGAAGTTGTCTCACTAACAAGGCAATCTCCAATGTCCGGACCGGATGAGGGAACAACTTTACTTTACTTTGTATTGTGGTACAGAGGCTAACACGACTCCATCGTACAAGGATGTCTGGTTGTTGGGGTGTAGATTCTAGAAAGCCCATCGTAGCACCGGCTGGTTGTTTAGGAGGGGGTCGGGTATGTTTTTATGTTCCGCCAGGAACGTTAGTGGGTGGGTTTCAGAGAGTCGTAAAACCTCCCCGATGGGGAATCTTGTGAGGGGGGTGGGGG